GAAGGGAGGACGAGAGCAACGTACCACGATGAAAGTCTTGTGGCCCAGGTGGCTGGAGCAAGGTCGGTGAGTGTGTAGTTGGTGCGAGAGAGGGAGGGGAGGAGGGTGAAGAGAGCGAGTCGGGTGAAGGGATGAAAGGAGGGAGCGCCCCTAGCACAAGGAGAGATAGAGAGAAGAAGAGAAAGGAGAGAGGAGGAAAAACGTACCACGATAAAAGCTTTGTGGCCCAGGTTTCCTTGGGTTCACGGGATCGGCTGGAGCAAGGTCGGTGAGAGTGAAGTTGGTGCGCGATTTGGAGGGGAGGAGAGTGAAGAGAGCGAGGCGGCTGAAGGGAAAGGGGAGAAAGGGAGGGAGCAGCCCTACCCTACCACAAGGAGAGAGAAGGGGAGCAAGCAACATAGCACAAGAAAGGGAGGACGAGAGCAACGTACCACGATGAAAGCCTTGTGACCCAGGTTCCTTGGGTTCAGGGGGTCGGCTGGAGCAAGAGAGCAAGGCGAGTGAAGGGATTGAATAGAACGCCACTACAAATGAGGAGACTAAGAGAAGAGAAGGAGAAGCGGAAGCAACGTACCACGATAAAAGCCTTGTGACCCAGGTTCCTTGGGTTTAGGGGGTCGGCTGGAGCAAGGTCGGTGAGAGTGAAGTTGGCTCGCGATTTGGAGGGGAGGAGAGTGAAGAGAGCGAGGCGGCTGAAGGGCGTCGCGTTGGATCCGACGGAGAGGCGGCCTTGAACGATGATGAAGGCTGCTTGCACCTCCACTGTTGGAAGAGATGGTGAGTCCTGTACCCTGGATTCAGAGAAGGCAGAATACGAGGGGGAGAGACACGCGCACACACAACACAGGAGGGAGGGGAGGAGGGTGAAGAAAGCGCGGCGGCTGAAGGGCGTTGCAGTGATGCCGGCAGAGAGACGGCCTTGAACGATGATGAAGGCTGCTTGCACCTCCACGGTTGGGAGGGATGGTGAGTCCTGTACCCTGGTTGGAGTGAAGGCACAGAGAGAGAGAGACAAGTGTGCATACAGCAGGGGAGGGGGGGGAAGGGGAGGAGGGTGAAGAGAGCGCGGCGGCTGAAGGGCGTTGCAGTGGATCCGGCGGAGAGGCGGCCTTGAACGATGATGAAGGCTGCTTGCACCTCCACCCTTGGAAGGGATGGAGAGTCCTGAACCCTGGTGATGGGAGGGAGGGGGAGAGGGGAGAAGGGAAGGGAGTTGCAGTGGATCCGGCGGAGAGGCGGCCTTGAACTATGATGAAGGCTGCTTGCACCTCCACCCTTGGGAGAGATGGTGAGTCAAGGACCCTGGTGGCATGCACACACGCACAGGGGACGAAAGAACCGAGCAGGAAGGGGAGGGGAGCACCATACCTGAGCCATCCCTTGATCACGAGCCTGTTGAGGCTCACTAGAGGCACATCCAGCAGCACGGCCGTCCCACACGGTATAGTCACATCCGCCCACTCGCCCCCCGTGGCCTTCACTCCGGGAATCACGGAGCTGCCACCATTGGTCCACGTGGCAGGGTCGCTCCACCGCTTCCAGCCTGGCAAAGGTGGAACGGAGGGGAGGGAGGAGCGGAGGGAGGAGGGGAGGGAGGGAAGGGGAGGGGAGGGGAGGAGGGAAGGGAAGGAAGGAAGGGGAGGGCGGGAGGGGTGGGGGGGAAGGAAGGGGAGGGGAGGCGGGAGAGGTGGGAAGGAGGGAAGGGAGGGGAGGGGAGGGGAGGGGTGGGAGGGAAGGAAGGGGAGGGGAGCAAAGGGAGGGGAAGAAGGGGTTGGGGAGAGGAGAGGATGGGTGGGGAGGCGTGGGTTGGGTAGAGGTAGATGGGGGGAGATGCGGATGGGCGGTGTATGAGAAGGGAGAGGGAACGGGGGGGGCGGAGGGAACGCCAGGCGGAGAGACAGAGGCAACGGCGGGGAGTGTTACAGTGAGAACCGGTTACCGGTTCCGGGAGGGAGCGGGAACGGCGGGGCGGAGAAACAGGGGCAAGGAGGTTGAAGGGACGGCAAGGAGGCGTCGCACCGCGTGGGGGGGAATGTGCCGCGCGGGCGGGATTGTACCGTGGGGGAAGGGGTAGGGAAATGGGGGGGGGGCGGGAGGAGGGGTGGGGGTGGTGGTGGAGGGATGGGGAGAGGGCGGAGCGGAGCATTGGTTCGTACCTTGCGGGGAAGGGATGGGAAGCAACTTGCGGGGGAGGGATGGGCCGCACCTTGCGGGGGACGGATGGGCCGCACCTTGCGGGGGAGGGTCGGGCAGGAACGGGCACGGCGGCTGGTACGAGTCATACACGCTGAACGGCGTTGCACCGACTTGCACCGATTTGAATCCCCCGAACGATGCGAGCGCTAGTAGAATGAGCGAAACGAGGGGCGCAGCGGCTGCAAGGACGTGTCGTGATTGGCGGCCGCGGGGACTGTGTAGCGCCGGCGGAAGCCGCCGCCCGTGCATGGCGCCCGGGATGGCGGAACTGACGAAATTCGCGGAACTTGCGGTACTGGAGGAACGGGCGGAACGGGCGGAACGGCGGAGCTGTCCAAACTAGCGCGGAGATCTGCGGAACGAGACGGTCGAATTATCGCAGAGAGAATATTAGAAGTGGTCGCGAGCGAACGAGTGCGAGCGAGGTGCGATTGAGCGAGGAAAGTGCGAGCGAGGTGTCGTCTGGCAGAGTGGTAGCGGCTGGTGTCTCTGCGGTGGAAAACGATACTACGCGATGGTGAGAGATGACGCGCGGAGACTATTGTGGGGTCGAGTGAGCGAGCTGACGGCGGGACGGACGGTGCTACGACTCAGGTGCAGATGGCACGACTCGGGCAAGAGTGGCGGAGACCGGCGCTACGCGACGGGAGAGATGACGCGGGGAATGACGCGATGATTGCTGCGGAGAATGACGCGGGGGATGACGCGGAACGCGGAGAATGACGCGGGGGATGACGCGGAACGCAAAGAATGACGCAGAGATGGATTCCGTCCGACCGTGGCGCGTGCGTACGGTAGTTAGTAGTATATGATCACTGCGGCTCAGGCGAGGCCAGAACGCGAATCTCGAGGCGCCTCGAGAACACTAATTGGAGTTAAGACCGGCAAGCGAGGCGACAGGCGAAAAGTATGTACACCTGGTAATGATCCACGGTACTGTATTCGTTCTACTCGAGAGGACTCGCCTTGATGTGTGCTATGAGTCGTCTGGCCAAAGGTATAATACCTGGGATTGTGCTAGGAGCCAGACGTCAGGAGGAGTTAGTTCAGGAGGTCCCTCTTGCTTTTGGCTGGCAAGAGTCGTTGGGTTGGGTGTTTCTGAGACAGGTGGGACCGACTAGAAAGGTATAGTACGTTTTGAGTAATACAAACTACGGTTCAGAGGATTGGAAATGGGTGAGTAGGTCAATATACAGTGTTCTACCGCCCGTGTTGAGGAAGGCAAGGCGAGGCAAACAAACGCCTCCCACGACTGGTTTGTGCTGCTTCGCGACGATTCGTCGCCAATCGACCCAATTTATATGCGGTTCAGTACGGTTAAAATATGATAGAATCGGGGTGTAGTTGGTGAACATTGGTTTTCGGTCGGTGATTTCCGTAAATTTCTCCTACCTGCCGCTGTTCATGCAATTCACACGGCGCCACACACACATCCCTCCTCCCTCCCTCCACCTGTGGTAGCTGCCAGTGTGTGTGGTGGTGAGGTGAGGTGAGTGCCTGCCATGTCGGTAGCAGCAAGAAGCAAAGCAGGACATGTACATATTTTCTCGCAACACCGTCATGCGTCATTGATATGTATGTGATGGCGGGTGACGCATGACGGTGTTGCGAGAACCAAGAGCGAGGATGTTGGAGGAAGGGGAGGGGAGACGGGGAAGGCTTGTTTTGATGCAGGTATGAAGGCTTGCTTCATTCATCAGGCCGCATTCCACACCTTTCTTCAATCACCATGGCAAGATCTAAATTTGGGAAAAGGTAATTGAAATAATGGGTTAGACGTGTCGATGTAGTATAATGGTCAGTATCTCCGCCTGTCACGCGGAAGATCCGGGTTCGATCCCCGGCATCGGCGACCTCTTTTGAAGGTCATGTGCTTGTATCCTGTGCTTAATTCTATGCTGCGAGGCCGGTCATTGTATTCGCGCCTTCAGATTTTAGCTTTCAAGGGTTTCAAACGTTTTAGTGCGTTCCAGCTACATATGAGCGTGTTATAATGTGTTGATTATTTGACTCACCCCTTTGATTTGTGCACGCGCGAGTTTATGCGCTGACAAGCATCTTCCCCCTCTGCATCGGGTGAAGAAATCGTTTCACGGCCTGTCATTCGTTCCTGCGAGAGACTGACTTCCTTGAAGACGACGAGGTTGGTTTCCGTTTATGTCGACTTCAGTTTAGTGTCTGTGACAGCTACGCGCCTCGTAAGGGCTACATTAGAAGATGTATCGTAGATAGCGCGCTGCGTGGAGCCCTGATCCAGTCCTTCTCGTTACAGTCTGGCTCTCGTTACAATCCCGTCGTCTTTCCCGTAGAACGGCTACGAGAGCCGGATCTTGCCAAATATTCTTTCATCTTGCAACATCTTGCTAGCATATTCTTTCAAATAGGAAGTTCCTAGATCTGTGTGAGTTGCCTCTGCACGAAAAAATGATGTCGACACTCTCGTCTGGTTCTTTCCGCATTTCTTTCGAAATCCAGCGGATATCTAGCATGCACCTCTTATCGCCGAATTCAGTCTGAGTTTCTTTCGGGTTTCAGACGAGTCTTTTTTTTTTTTTTTTTTTTGGACTAATTTTACGTTATATCATGTTGCTTCTTGCAGGTCCGCCATGGCTCCTCCTCCGCGCTCCTACCTCCAACTCCTCCTATTCCATCTCTTCCTCCTCCTCGTCCTCCCGCTCGCCCCAACACACGTGTCAGCCAGCGGCGGGGTGACGTTCCAGGCGATTCTGGAAGAGGCACGTGGCAGCAACGGATTGGCCATGGTGCTGGGTCTGAGGAGAGCGCTCCACGAGATTCCCGAGCTCATGTTCCGCGAATTCCGGACGAGCGCCATGGTGCAGGAGACGTTGGCGTCCTTGGGAATACCATTCCAGGCCAACTTCGCAGGAACCACAGGTGAGCGGTGTTTATAACTGGTAGATTGTGAAGCTTATAGCGGGTATGTTTGAGCTTAGGACGAGCGCCATGGTGCAGGAGACACTGGCGTCAAGGAAATACCCTTCCCTCCCTACGTCGACAGAACTGGCGCATCACCGGCCGATAGTGACTTCTGAGAATTCTCAAATGTGGCCACCCACCGATCGTGGCTGTTTTTGCTGACTTAAACGCGCTGCCTAACACAACGCGCTGTCTAACACACTGGAAATGCTCTCTTCAAGCCTCCTATGACTTTTGAGGCGCCTCAAAAGTTGTTTTTGCTGACTTCAACGCGCTGCCTAACACACAGGAAATGCTCTCTTCAAGCCTCCTATGTCCCCCTTGTTACGCCCGCCAGGCATGGTAGCAACCATCGGAATTGGCGCACCACCGACCGATAGTGGCTGTTTGTGCTGACTTAGATGTGCCGCCCATCAGAGATAAAACGAACGTGCCCTTCAAGTCCCAACACGCTCTCCTCAAGCCTCCTGTGTCCCCCTTGCTACGCCGTTTCTGGTGACTCCAGGCGTGGTGGTAACAATCGGTACCGGAGCAGAGCCCATAGTGGTGCTGCGGGCGGACATGGGCGCTCTTCCGATCACAGAGAGACGGATGCGCCCTTCAAGCCCCCCCACTCCCCGGCCCCCATCCCACACTCTTGCCTACCGTCACGTGCCTGCTGATTGCACTCCAGGCGTGGTGGCAACAATCGGCAATGGAGCAGTGCCTATAGTCGCTCTGCGGGCGGACATGGACGCTCTGCCAATCACAGAGGAGACAGATGTGCCGTTCAAGTCGCGCCATCCCGGTGCCATGCACGCATGCGGCCACGACGCCCACACCGCCATGCTCCTCGCCGCTGCCCGAATTCTCCAAGAGCGCTCCCGGGCAGGTACGAAATGTTTCGATTGGGGCAATCTTGGCTCGCATCAGGCAGTGTATCGGTCCTTGCTCGGGCAGGTAGGATTTATGAGAGTATATGAGAATAGTTGGGTCTATATCAGGTGAAGCGTGAGTGAGCGGTTGATGTGTGTTTGTGTGAGAGTGAGTTGTGCCGTTCAAGTTGCGCCATCCTGGTGGCATGCACGCATGCAGCCACATCGCTTCGCCCACACCGCCATGCTGCTTGCTGCTGCCCGCATCCTCCAGGAGCGCTCCTGGGCAGGTACAAAATGCTTCCTCTTTTTTTCTGGGGGAGTTTTGAATCTGCATTTGGGGGGCACGTGCTCGGGCAGGCAAAATCTATTTTCTTTCATATATCAGGCATGTATGCATGTGTGAATGCGATGTGTGTCCTTCCTTCCTGTCGTTGGGGTAGGCAAGGAATGTGAAGCCACTCATCATTTCTTGCTTACAGAAAAGTGGGCCTCTTTATAGACGACTTTTGAGACGTCTTAAAAAGTTCTTGCTTATAGGAAAGTGGGCCTCTTTACAGAAACCTTTCTCTTGTTTCTTGCGAGATCCGGACATGGCTCAGTGAGCTGCGTGCGTGCAGTAGCCTCTTTATAGAAACCTTTCTCTTGTTTCTCGCGAGATCCGGACATGGCTCAGTGAGCTGCGTGCGTGCAGTAGCCTCTTTATAGAAACCTTTCTCTTGTTTCTTGCGAGATCCGGACATGGCTCAGTGAGCAGCGTGCGTGTAGTAGCCTCTTTATAGAAACCTTTCTCTTGTTTCTCGCGAGATCCGGACATGGCTCAGTGAGCTGCGTGCGTGCAGTAGCCTCTTTATAGAAACCTTTCTCTTGTTTCTCGCGAGATCCGGACATGGCTCAGTGAGCTGCGTGCATGCAGTAGCCTCTTTATAGAAACCTTTCTCTTGTTTCTCGCGAGATCCGGACATGGCTCAGTGAGCTGCGTGCGTGCAGTAGCCTCTTCATAGAAACCTTTCTCTTGTTTCTCGCGAGATCCGGACATGGCTCAGTGAGCTGCGTGCGTGCAGTAGCCTCTTTATAGAAACCTTTGTCACCGAATATGCATGATTATGCATATAAGGTGCCAGAGTATGCGGTGTACTTATGGTGTAGCAATGTTGAGTGTGCACATTCGAGGGTAGGAAGTTGGGGACCAGGGAAACTGACGCGAGGTGGGTAGGAGAGCACCAAGGGGTGGAATCCAAGGAACCAATGTGAACAAACCAACCCAGGCTCGAGCCGCACCTTGAGAAATGCACGGTTCGAGTCTGGGCCAGGCAAATTCACTCTCTCACACACACCCGATGCTTTTCTCTTGTTATTCTCTCATATTAGTGGAAAGTTGTTACCTCGGATCTAGCATCCGGTGGCACGCCACTATGGGAGGACCTACGGGGTGAGGGAGGAAACTCTTTCATAACAAGAGAAAAGCCGCGTGCGTGTGTGAGTTATGGACGAGTACGAGCTGCGCTGGGCTCGTCGCGAGCAGGAACGGCCGTGTCAGGGCCGGACGCAAGAGCGTGGGCGCTCGCTGGAGCGGTCGCCGCGGAGGTCAGCATTTCGCGCAGATCAGATTCCGTTCACGCGTGAACAACGCAAAGGCGGATCGGTTCGCGAAGGCGGAGACGGATCGGGATCTGCCATGACGGGCGGCGATCCGTGGCGGCTTGATGGACGACGAGAAGGGGGAGGCGGCGGACGATGTCGCCGAGATACGGGAGCGCATAGCTCGCCGGGAGAAGGGGAGCGCCGTCGCGGTGGAGGAGACCGCGGGAGCACCCTGGAGGACCACGTGGTGTTTGGACGGGGGTATTGCAGCGAAGGAGATAAGGAGATCTCCTGCGCCGACAAGTCAGTGAAGGCGAGGCGCGAGGAAGACGGAACCGAAGTCGACGAGTACGGCGAGGAGCCAAAGCACCAACGTATGGAGGCGAGGATGCGACGCGATCTCCCGGCAGCACCAGGCGCATCGGATCAGGCGTCGGCGCGCGACGAGGCGGAGCAAGGTGGGGCGAATGAAGGAGATCGTTCGTCAGATTAGCGAACAGAGCTTGGCGATGACAGCCACGGAAAGGATTCGGCGCCTGAGCCACAAGAAAAGCAGGGCGACATGACGCATGAGCGTGCGGAAGAAGATTATCCTCTAGATATGCGTCGGCAGGACGAAGGCGTCAGAATCCCAACCTTTAGACCATTGGGATAAAAAAGTTTGTTTCAATAGCGGGTCAGTGCGCCCATAACCCCCTAGGCGAACGTGTCTGTAACCCTCTCCAGGATCAATCGGGCATCCACAGTGCAGATCTACTGACACCCCCCACACTGGGAGGCCGAGGACTAAGCACAGCGGCAACGGCCTACATGTACATACACCGAGATTCGAAGCCGAGACCGCTCTGATACCATGTGAGAACCCCAACCACTATACCATTGGGATAAAAAGGCTTGTTTCAGTAGCGGGTCAGTGCGCCCATAACCCCCTAGGCGAACGCGCCTGTAACCCTCTCCAGGATTAATCGGGCATCCACAGTGCAGATCTACTGACAGAAAGAAGGCGAAAAAAAGGGCCGCATGCATCAGATCTGCATCGCATGTGCGTAGGAAGGCGAGGCGACAGGTTGTGCTCGCCAGATCTGCATCGGCAGGGAGGGGGAAGGCGAAGTGATCAATTACGCTCGCCAGACCCGCATCGGCCACGTAGAGGAAGGCGTGACGAGTGGTCACCTTCGCCAGGGGTAGATCGGCAGCATAGAAGCAGCCAGGACGCGCGAGCGAAGGCGAATCATTCGTCAGAGCAGCAGCGGGGGCGAGCGGAGATGCGATATGAAGTGCCCAGGGACGAGTTCTCACCTGATCCGCGTCGGCAGCGCAGAGGAGGGCGGAATGGAGGGTCGCGCTCGCCTGATCCGCGTCGGCAGCGCGGAGGAGGGCGGAACAGAGGGTCGCGCTCGCCTGATCCGCGTCGGCAGCGCGGAGGAGGGCGAAACGGAGGGTCGCGCTCGCCTGATCCGCGTCGGCAGCGCGGAGGAGGGCGGAACGGAGGGTCGCGCTCGCCTGATCTGCGTCGGCAGCGCGGAGGAGGGCGGAATGGAGGGTCGCGCTCGCCTGATCCGCGTCGGCAGCGCGGAGGAGGGCGGAACGGAGGGTCGCGCTCGCCTGATCCGCGTCGGCAGCGCGGAGGAGGGCGGAACGGAGGGTCGCGCTCGCCTGATCCGCGTCGGCAGCGCGGAGGAGGGCGGAACGGAGGGTCGCGCTCGCCTGATCCGCGTCGGCAGCGCGGAGGAGGGCGGAACGGAGGGTCGCGCTCGCCTGATCCGCGTCGGCAGCGCGGAGGAGGGCGGAACGGAGGGTCGCGCTCGCCTGATCCGCGTCGGCAGCGCAGAGGAGGGCGGAACAGAGGGTCGCGCTCGCTTGCTCCGCGTCGGCACCATGATGGGAGGCGGGGAGGCGGGGCGCGCTCGCCTGATCAGCATTGGCAACGTGATAGAAGACGGACTGGCGAGTCTGGCTCGCCTGATCTGCAGTGGCACAACGAGGGAAGGGCAAGGGGCGAGGCACGTTCGCCAGATCTGCAGCGTAAGTAGGGAGGGAGATGGGAGGAGGAGTGGCATCTGCAAGAAAGTCGCCGCAGGCATGGAGGAAGAAGGGACGAGAGATCCCCGCCGCCCGAGAGGCACTGGCAGCGCGGAACGCTAAGGGAAGGATGGGCGAGGGCGCATTACTCGCCAGAGCGGCAGTTGGGGTGAGCAGGAGCACGGATGAGTGCGGAGGACCTGCGAAGCGAGGCGGGACAGGACCAGCGCAGAAGCAAAAGGGGAGGCGGCGGTCTGGCATACAGCACAGAGTGCGCCACAGAGGCAAGGGAAGGAATCGAGAGGGCAAGGGAGAGGGAGTGATCAAGAAGGCAGACGAGAGGACTGATTGAACCATGGGGAGACGGTTGGAGGAGCACAACAATGGCCACGCGAGTGGAAGTGCCGGCGCGATTCTCGGGAGATCAGCACACGTGGCCGACACTCAAGAACTACCTAATGCAAGTGGGGAGTGTGAGGTACAGATGCGAGAGGAGCGGCATGGACTCTGTGGACTTCTTCCTAAGTCTGCCGAATACATTGGAAGGGGAGGCAGAAACGTTGTACAGGATGAAGATGGACGAGCTACTGGAGAGGGCAGGGATGTATGGGGAAGACCCCACGGAGGCATTCCTGCGGCGGCTGCAGCGGCAGTTTCCTGGAAATACAGCAGAGCGGATAAGAGAGTTTCAGGATTTCAGGAGGGGGCGGAGCGAGTCGTTGCTCACCTACTACAGCAAGCTGATCAATGTGGCGGAGGATGTGACATGCTCAGACATGGGCCTACTCGTTAGCAAATTCCTCGATGGGCTGGACAATACCATGGGGAATGGGCTGCGAATGAAGGTTTACACACTGGGAGCAGACACGACACTAGATGAGGTGTTTGAGTTAGCGGAGAAGATGGAGCTTGCGCAGAGGAAGTATGAAGCATACCGGCCCCGAACGACAGAGAAGAGCCGAGGACCAACATGGGCAGCAGCAAGGATGGCTGAGGATAGGGGAAGGTCAGAGGGACGAGGGGATGGTAGGGCAGAGAACAGGACCTGCTACAGATGCGGACAGTCGGGGCACGTTAGGAGAGATTGCAAGAACTGGGATTGCTGTGGGAAGCCGGGACACTTGAGGAGAGAGTGCCCAGATCCATCAGGGTGTGAAATCTACAGCAAGAAGGGACGTGAGGCGAAGGACTGCTACCAACGGGAGGGGACAGCAAAGGGGGACCCGGAAGAGCTCAACCGGCTACAAGCACAGCTGCAGGCACTCAGACCAAGGCAGGAAGCGGAGGCAGGAACGAGCGCCAGAGATGGGGATGACGGGGAAGTAGGGCAGGATGTGCAACGCGCGTATATGGCCTGGAGGGGAAGGGAAGAGATGGGACTACGCAGTGGAGGGGAGGACGGCCACCAGGAGCACCTACAAAAAGGAGGAGAGAAGGGGCAGGAGGCAGAGGAGCCAACTCCAAAGGATGTTGTGGCTCGCCACCCGCCGGACGGGCTAGTAAGCCAGATTTCAAAACTGGTGGTGAGAAATGGAGCGACGGCAATGGAGGGGGAGAAGGACAAGACGGTGATCACAGACACTGGAGCACGGAGTAGGAAGTTGGGGAAGGTCATGGCAGAAGAACTGGGACTGATAGCACCAGAGAAGCAGCTAGCTAAGGGGATGGTTGTGACGACGGCAGGAATGGGGGAACTTGAGTGGATGGCAAGCACCCATGCTCCGACTGAACTAACACTATTGCCAAAGAAGAAACAGGGGGCACAGAACGGTATGCCAGCAGTAGCAGAAGCGGAAAGCAAGGCAGAGAAGGTTGGGGCACAGACATGCACACCAGAAGTAGTAGAACCGGAAGGGAGAGAAGAGAAGGTGAGAACACAGGCGTGTGAATCAGCAGCGACGGAAGCGGACAGGGAGAACGAGAAGGTGGGGGCATGGGCATGTGCTCCAGTGAGAACGGAAGGGAAAGAAGGGAAGGTGTGGGCACAGGCATGCACATCAGCAGTAGCGAAAGCGGAAAGGAAAGATGAGGGGATGGAGGCACGAGCGTGTATATCAGCAGCAACGGGAGCGGAGGAACGAGACGAGCAGGTGGGGGCAGAAGCGTGTGTATCAGCAGCGATGGCAGAACCGGGAGAACTTGATTGGATGGAAATCACTCGTGCTCTGACTGAACTGACACCATTGACAGGGAAGAAACAGGGGGCAGGGAAACAGGATGCACAAGGAGGGGTGGAAAGACAGGAGGAGGGAAAGATGAAGACCGTGGGGAAGCAGACCGTGGGGAAGCAGACCGTGGGGAAGCAGACCGTGGGGAAGCAGACCGTGGGGAAGCAGACCGTGGGGAAGCAGACCGTGGGGAAGCAGACCGTGGGGAAGCAGACCGTGGGGAAGCAGACCGTGGGGAAGCAGACCGTGGGGAAGCAGACCGTGGGGAAGCAGACCGTGGGGAAGCAGACCGTGGGGAAGCAGACCGTGGGGAAGCAGACCGTGGGGAAGCAGGCCGTGGGGAAGCAGGCCGTGGGGAAGCAGACCGTGGGGAAGCAGACCGTGGGGAAGCAGACCGTGGGGAAGCAGACCGTGGGGAAGCAGACCGTGGGGAAGCAGATCGTGGGGAAGCAGACTGTGGGGAAGCAGACCGTGGGGAAGCAGACCGTGATAGGAGCAGGATAGGAGCAGGGCCAGCAGAGTAACTGGCAGCAGCCCATCCGTCAGGTCAAACTGTCGGGCGGGATAGGAGCAGGGCCAGCAGAGTAACTGGCAGCAGCCCATCCGTCAGGTCAAACTGTTGGGCGGGATAGGAGCAGGGCCGGCGGCAGTGATAAAGCATGGGAACACAGTAAAGCAGTGGATTTACCAGGACAAGGAGCCCGTCGTAAGGAAGATGGCAGAGCACCATGTCGGGTGGAGGCTGCGCGAGAAGTGGATGGGGCTAGGAGAAAGGGACCTTCGCACGAAACTGATCGAGAACGGGTTTCATATCATGAAACGGCTGCAGGAGAGGCAGGGCAGCATAGTGTTCCGAGTAGAATTTTTGGATTTCAAAAGGGACAGCCGAGAGCCCACACGACAGGTGAGGAAGAGGATCATACAGCAGATGGGACTGGGGGCGAGAGATGGTACAGCAAAGGTGGGGGCACGAGCTCAGGTGGGGGCACGAGCTCAGGTGGGGGCACGAGCTCAGGTGGGGGCACGAGCTCAGGTGGGGGCACGAGCTCAGGTGGGGGCACGAGCTCGTCGGCTCGGGACGTGCCGGCAGAACTTGGTGCCCGCCCAATATCTGCAGGAGGAAATAGACGGTGTGGGACGGGCTTGGGGGAGGAAGGTGCAGGGCATTTTAGAGCCGGTAAGGACAACGGCACGAGTGACTAGGAGGTGCTACAGCAAGCTTTACCCATGTAATCGGGGGGGACAGGAGGTACAGGCACTGTCAGCGCTGGGGGCAGACGGAAAGGGCGAAGAAGGGAAGGCGGGACCTGCTATGGTGTATGATCACAAGGAGGGCAGAAGGGAAGAGCCCACGGCTCTGGAGCGAGAATTAGCCTTGAGGAATGGAGAGAACATCACGGCAGCCCCAGGTGCGACTAAGCTGCAAGGGAGGAGGGCGTTGGGGAATACAATGAATGAGCAGATGATGAGGTCGGAGTCACTACAGGGACGGGTACAGGGTGGAGGGAAAGCAGAGGCAGCAGCGGTCCCGCGAGGAGCCTGGTCCTGCATGGAAGGGGAGTATCCAGAGTGGAAGGTGGGAGAGACAGTGAGCGAAGAAGGGAAGAAGGTGATGTTGGCAATATTAGCGAAACATAGGAGGCGATTGGCCTTACAAGCGGTGGGGAAGGGCAGGGTAAAGCAGAGGCAACGCAAGGGAGAGGGGAGAGTGCCGAAGGGAGTCTGTGAAGGACAGGAGGTATCCCTGAAGAGCGCGAAGCAGGACACACTGGATGTGGGGTTGGGGACTGTGCGATGGAAGGTCAAGAGGGTGCGCCCCTCAGGGGTGCTGGTACTGGACAATGAGAAGGGGGCACAGTTGAAGGAGCACCAGCCGAACACAGCTGTGATCAGAGGGACAGGGCCTCAGCGTGCTGGTCCTGTGACCCGCGCTCAAGCTGCTCGAGCACGGGCACAGGAGGGGGCAGAGAGTGGCTGAGGCAGGACAGGAACAGAGAAGAGCAAGAAGGACAGAAGGAAGGGCAGATGGCTGGCAATAGCAGTTTTCCAACAGCTGTCACCGAATATGCATGATTATGCATATAAGGTGCCAGAGTATGCGGTGTAGTTATGGTGTAGCAATGTTGAGTGTGCACATTGTAGGGCAGGTAGTTGGGGACCAGGGAAACTGACGCGAGGTGGGTAGGAGAGCACCGAGGGGTGGAATCCAAGGAACCAATGTGAACAAACCAACCCAGGCTCGAGCTGCACATTGAGAAATGCACGGTTCGAGCCTGGGCCAGGTAAATTCACTCTCTCACACACACCCGATGCTTTTCTCTTGTTATTCTCTCATATAAGTGGAAAGTTGTTACCTCAGATCTAGCATCCGGTGGCACGCCACTATGGGAGGACCTACGGGGTGAGGGAGGAAACTCTTTCATAAGAGTGGCTGAGGCAGGACAGGAACAGAGAGGAGCAAGAAGGACAGAAGGAAGGGCAGATGGCTGGCAATAGCAGTTTTCCGACACTGCGTGCGTGCAGTAGCCTCTCTATAGAAACCTTTCTCTTGTTTCTTGCGAGATCCGGACATGGCTCAGTGAGCTGCGTGCGTGCAGTAGCCTCTTTATAGAAACCTTTCTCTTGTTTCTCGCGAGATCCGGACATGGCTCAGTGAGCTGCGTGCGTGCAGTAGCCTCTTTATAGAAACCTTTCTCTTGTTTCTCGCGAGATCCGGACATGGCTCAGTGAGCTGCGTGCGTGCAGTAGCCTCTTTATAGAAACCTTTCTCTTGTTTCTCGCGAGATCCGGACATGGCTCAGTGAGCTGCGTGCGTGCAGTAGCCTCTTTATAGAAACCTTTCTCTTGTTTCTCGCGAGATCCGGACATGGATCAGTGAGCTGCGTGCGTGCAGTAGCCTCTTCATAGAAACCTTTCTCTTGCTTCTCGCGAGATCCGGACATGGCCCAGTGAGCTGCGTGCGTGCAGTAGCCTCTTCATAGAAACCTTTCTCTTGTTTCTCGCGAGATCCGGACATGGCTCAGTGAGCTGCGTGCGTGCAGTAGCCTCTTTATTGAAACCTTTCTCCTGTTTGTCTTTTATCTCTTTTGTCCCTTCTTTCTTTCCTAAACCCTTCACTCTACCTCCTTTCCTAAACCCTTCTTTCTTTCCTAAACCCTTCACTCTACCTCCTCCTTTTCTAAACCCTTTTTTCTTTCCTAAACCCTTCAATCTACTTCCTTCTTTCCTAAACCCTACTGTCTTTCCTAAACCCTTCAGTCTACCACCTTCTTTCCGAAACCCTTCTTTCTTTCCTAAACCCTTCACTCTACCTCCTTCTTTCCTAAACCCTTCACTCTACCTAGGGATGAGCAAAGGGCGAACACGAACATGTTCGTCTTCGCCCCTTGTTGAACACCCTCTTTTGCCTGTGGAGGCATGTTCGGGCGAACCTCGAACACGTTCGTGTTCGCCACGGGGCGTTCTGCAGCAGCGCCACGAACACGAACGTGTTCGGGCGAACATCGAACACGTTCGGGCGAACGATTTAAGCTGAAAAACAAAACCTGTTCGGTTCGCCTCGAACACGTTCGAGGCGAACCGAACAGGTGTTCGCCACCTTGCTCATCCCTAACTCTACCTCCTTTCCTAAACCCTTCTTTCTTTCCTAAACCCTTCACTCTACCTCCTTCTTTCCTAAACCCTTCTTTCTTTCCTAAACCCTTCACTCTACCTCCTTCTTTCCTTAACCCTTCACTCTACCTCCTTTCCTAAACCCTTCTTTCTTTCCTAAACCCTTCTTTCTTTCCTAAACCCTTCACTCTACCTTCTTCTTTCCTTAACCCTTCACTCTACCTCCTTCTTTCCTTAACCCTTCACTCTACCTCCTCGCATAGTGGTTGTTTCTTGCACTCCTCTGTCATCGTTTCTGCCGCCCCTTCTCCAGGCACCTTGGGCGGCACGGTTCGTCTTATCTTTCAGCCAGCAGAGGAAGGGGGGGCAGGGGGAAAGCGGATGGTGGATGGGGGGGCTCTCAAGGGCGCGTCTGCTGCCTTCGCGCTGCACGTATCACCCAAGGTAGGAAGTCTTTGTGATTATATTATGTATATGTGTAAATGGATGCACATACATGTGGAAGGGGGAACACAGATGGTGGATGGGTGGCCTCTCAATAGCGTGTCTGCTGCCTTCGCCCTGCACGTATCTCCCAAGGTAGAAAGTCTATGTATTGGTATGAATGTCTTTATGCATGCATACATATACGTGAGGAAGTGGGAAAGCGTATGGTGGATAGGGGGGGGTCCCTCTCAAGGCGTGTCTGCTGCCTTTGCCCGGGTAGAAAGTGTATGTATTATAATTATGTACACACATTCATACTTGTGTAGAAGGGGTGGATGGTGGATGGGTGGCCTCTCAAGGGCGTCTCTGCTGCCTTCGCCCTGCACGTATCTCCCGAGGTGGGACGTCTATGTTCTGATTCCGTATGTGCATACATATATGTGTGGAAGGGGGAAGCGGATGGTGGATGGGGGGGCTCTCAATGGCGCGTCTGCTGCCTTCGCTCTGCGTGTATCACCCAAGGTGGGAACTCTATGGATTATAGTTATGTATAAACGTACGTATTTGTGTGGAAATTTTAAAGTAGTTATGACTTGAATCTTTTCACTACTGACTTAACTTTCTTGTCCTTCACTGAAGGGTGGAAGCGCATGGTGGATGGGGGGGCTCTCAAGGGCGCGTCTGCTGCCTTTGCCTTGCACGTCTCACCCAAGGTGGGAAGTCTAGGTTTCTGTATGAATGCGTCTATGCATGCGTACCTTTTTTCTTTGCCGTTTTGCTTGCAGATCCCAGCAGGCTATGTGGGCAGTCGGCCCGGGATGCTGCTAGCAGGGTCGGGGCGTTTCAACGCCACAGTGTGGGGCAAAGGGGGCCATGCGGCCATGCCTCAGTTCGCAGCAGACCCGATCCTCGCTGCTGCTCACATCGTGTCCAGGTAAGGGTTGCATGAGAATACATTCAGGTAAGCAGTGGCCACTGTGAGGGGCAAGGGCGGCCATGCCGCCATGCCTAAGTGTGCAGCAGACCCGATCGTGGCAGCTGTTCACATCGTCTCCAGGTGCGATTATGCGATAGACAATGTACCACCGCACTCCACTCCACTGTCTCGGGGAAGGGGGGTCGTGCAGCCATGCCCCAGTTCGCAGCAGACGCCATCCTTGCTGCTGCTCACATCGTATCTATCAAGGTGAGATGAACATCAGATGAGAGCAAGAGTCTGCCCACCACAGTGTGGGGCAAGGGCGGCCGTGCTGTGGTCGATTCAACACCACAGTGTGGGGCACGGGGGGCACATAGGGGGACACGGGGGCCACGGTGGGGGACACGCGGTCATGCCCCGCTTCGCAGCAGGCCACATCCTCGCTGCCGCTCACATCGTGTCAAGGTAGGTAACTAATGCGGTTGAACACCTCTTGGGTTGGGGCCGGTTGAACACCTCTTGGGTGTGGGGCAAGGGGGGCCATGCAGCCGCGCCTCAGTTTGCAGCAGACCACATCCTCGCTGCTTCTCACATCGTATCAAGGTAGGGGGAACGTGATAGCACAGCAATGTGAACACTATAGCTCAGCATGTGAGGAGCGACGGCGGCTGGCCATGCCCCAGTTACTATCCCAGTTGCAACGGCATACCTCATCCTCGCTGCCGCTCACATCGTATAAGGGGAAGCATTGTTTCAAATCCAGGTATACAGTAACCTCTGTTTGGGACAAGGGGACCATACCACCACCACTAAAAATCAAGTCTGCTAACCCTGATTTGAGTCGAATCAAACCTAGGAACTGGATCTGCTGACTCTGATGTTCTTTTTCTCGCATTCCCTTTCTTTCTCCCTGCTTCCTCCTCCCTATCCGCCATTCTCCCCTCCTCCTCCCCCCGCCCTACCCTGCATGCCCCTCACCCTGCACCCTCTTCCACCTCCGCTCCTCCCCTCCGTTACCCCCAGCTTCCAGGCCAAAGTATCAAGGGAGACAGATCCCTTCGCCTCACGAGTTATCTCGGTGACTCACGGCGGCTCGGCCGACAATGTCATCCCCCTCCCCTCCTCCCGTACCCCTCTCAGCCTCCAGGCATAGTGTCAAGGGAAACAGACCCCTTTGCCTTGCAGGTGGTCTCAGTGACTCAGTTCAACGGCGGCTCGGCTGTTAATGTCATCCCCGATACAGTCACACTGCGGGGCACCTATAGGGCCACCACTAAGGACGGGCTCGCTGACCCTGATGTTTCCTCTTTTCACCTGTCCCCCTGTTACCCTACTTTCTTCCTTCCTGCTTTCATTCCCCTGCCGCCCCTCCCCTCTTTCCCTCCGCTTCTTCAGCCTCCAAGCCATCGTTTCGAGAGAGACCGACCCTTTCGCTTCACGTGTTATCTCGGTGACGCAGTTCCACGGCGGCTCGGCTGATAATGTCATCCCCGATACAGTCACGCTGCGGGGCACCTACAGAGCCACCACTAAAGACGGGCTCGCTGACCTGGAACGGCGCATTGCTGACATCATCGACACGCAGGCGCGCGTGTTTGGATGCCGGGGAGAGGTGGATTATGGGATGATGGATGCTAATCTGCAAGCTGATGCTGGTGCTGATGGTGGTGGTGGTGATGAAGCGACGAAGGCAGCAGAATCAGAATCAGAAGGTTTTTGCACAAACACAGCTGGCAATACGGCTCAAGGCTCCTGTACTGCTAAAATCTCTGGTGAACCTTCTTCCGAGCCTCTTTCCGAGCCTCTTGCCGACCCTCTCGGGTACGCCTGGCCCCCGAAGCGCATCCCAGCCTACCCGCCCACAGTGAATGACGTCAGCATGCACGCTCTCGGCCGCGACGTGGTCCAGAAGCTTCTGGGAAGCTCCGCGTACCTGGATGTGGATCCGTGGATGGCTGGCGAGGATTTTTCTTTTTACCAGGAGGCGGTGCCTGGGGCCATGTTCTTTCTGGGAGTGGGGGCATCTGGGGTCAATAGCACCAGTGGCAACAGCGGTAGCAGCAGCAGTAGTGCCACTGCCACCACCACCACCACCAGCACCACTACCAGCAGCAGCAACAGTCCGCCTCTGCATTCCCCCGTGTTCACAATCGACGAGGCGGCTCTGCCCATTGGCGTGGCGTTGCACGTGGGGTTCGTGCAGCAGTACTTGTCCCAGGGGCGGGCAGAGGCTTAGAGCTGCAGGCGTACAGGGAAGGCATTGGGAAGGCATTTGGAGCGGCTCCGTCCATTTGCGTGGCTCTGCACGTGGGGTTCGTGCAGCAGTTCCTGTCATAGGGGCGGGCACAGGGGTAGAGGGGCAGGGGTAGGTGTGCATGCACAGAGAAGCAAAGATAAAAAGGTGTTCCGGCATGGAGCAAACAGGAGCAGCTCTGCCCACTGGTGTGGCGCTGCACGTGGTGTTCGTGCAGCAGTACTTGTCCCAGGGGCGGGCAGAGGCTTAGAGGAGCAAGCTGGCATAAAAGATCTCATGGCACTGGGTAGAGATGCTTATAACGGGTAGAGATGCTTGTTAACGGGTAGAGGTGCTTATAACGGGTATGGAGCTCCTCTGCCCATTGGTATGGCGCTGCACGTGGGGTTTGTGCAGCAGTACTTGTCCCAGGGGCAGGCAGAGGGATAGTGGGATAGAGACATTTAGGGGAGGCACAGGGTAACTGTTACAAGTTTTTCTGTCCTGTCTTGAGTTCATGCCTGCACATATGTATGGCAGTTACAACATGTCTGCTACTTTTGAAGCACACATTTTCCAGAGGCACTCAAAAGGACGTTTCCTTTTGTTAGAATTACTACAGTACATGTAGGGACAATATTTAGAAAGCTTGCTTTCTTGTGTTTGCAATGGCAACGAGCTTCGTTTCAAATGGGCATTACATCATTCTCGTCCGGGATATATATGATACCTACGTTACACATGACGACATGCAATTTTTGCTAGGGTGGGTGGGTGGGAAATAAGACATTTGAAATTTCAAACGAAGACGTGGGTGGAAGCCAAATGGCCTCCACCCCCTGCTATATAGTTGGCGAAGAGCGTCTAGCACTTCGTCGTTGCCATTGCTGCATTACAAGCAGCTTCGCTTTCAGAATAAACATTTTTAGAAAGTGTTACGCGCTTTCAAAAAATTTCATGTAGTCTTATGTGTATTGGACAGATAACACAGGCTAGAGTTGTTGGAAACAATCGGTCCTAAGCGTCTCTGTCGTGTCAAAACACTAAGGGTGCATTCTGCTGTGGACACATGTCCCAATCTACGTGTCCCAATCGAGTGTACCGCTCCGAACCGGACTAAACCAGAGACGCGAAAATTCCGAAACTAGGGTGCAACTTGGTGTAATACGATGCAGTGCGGTAGAAACGATTGGGACACATCTATTGGGACATGTGTCCACAGCAGAATGTACCCTAAAGACACAAGTGAAACAACGCATATCGAGGCACCAGCGAGTCAACCCTCGGAAGTTGATGTGGAAAGTTAGAAGAAACAAGAGGGCTGCACTAGCAAGAATGGGGATACAAATAGGAAAACCTAGAAGGGTTGTAGTTGCTATAGAGCACCCCACTACAGGCTCGAGCATAAGATAACATTCTGACAGTTGAAGCCAGGCCCTCAGATGTCAGCGTAAAACACGCTGATTACGCTGATTTTGTAGCTCTGAATTTCGTTTTCCCTGGAAAATCAGTAAATGCTTCCATTTTGGGCTGAAATTTCAGTAAATGTGAGTTTGCCACACTGACGGTTTTGTGTGTTTCTGAACGAGTTACACTGAGGAATCAGTATACTTCAGTGCCTCACCCTGAAACGGATTTGACCGGCCGGGGGAAAGGGGGGGGGGGGGGTATCAGAATCCCAACCACTAGACCATTGGGATAAAAGGACTTGTTAAGTAGCGGGTCAGTGCGCCCATAACCCCCCAGGCCAACGTGCCTGTAACCCTTCCCTAGGATCAATCGGGGATCACCAGTGGACTTCTGACATCCCCCCGCACTGGGATGCCCGAAGTGCATACACCGGGATTCGAACCCGAGACCTTCGCTCTAATACCATATCAGAATCCCAACCACTAGACCATTGGGATAAAAGGGCTTGTTAAGTAGCGGGTCAGTGCGCCCATAACCCCCCAGGCCAACGTGCCTGTAACCCTTCCCTAGGATCAATCGGGGATCACCAGTGGACTTCTGACAGGGGGGGGGGGGGCGACGCGTGTACAGGCTGTTCCTTCGCGTGATTCACGAAACCCCACACACACTTGGAATCTTCTCACATGCGCTGTATTTACAGCTAGTGCGCGCCGAACCGTTTTGCCGTGCTGGAAGCCAGAATACCAGAGAACGGCTAACCTAGTTCACAACTGCCCAATGAGAACACAGACAACACACCACTGGTGGCAGGGTCCACGCCAACACGCCAGGGATGGCAGAGTGGAGTGGGGGTGTTGTCATCTTGCCTGGGAAGACGGAAACCCTGGCCTGGACCAAGATCCCTCGTCATCGCAGCTCGGGAGAGGGGGTACCCCCATCTGCTCCCTCATTCTGTTCCTGCACTCCTCGTGAACCCCTGCAGGAAGTGATGTTCGAGCTGAAGCAGGAGTAGCTTCTCCCTCAAGCTCGGCATGCTCTGCAGCGCTGAGCAGCCATGGCGGTTTCGACGCCCGCAGGTGACGGCCCTCCGCCCGTCGCAGGCACGAGGCCAGCCGCTATTACTGGCTTAGACTTTTTACGACGCGTTCACGCTGCTCCCGCGTTAGTCCCGCCGTCAGCTCAAGCCGTGCCGTTCCCTTCCACTAGCCCCGAGGCACCTACCATCTGGACGCAGGGCGAGTGTTCGACGCATGTAGGCGCTGCCGCTTCACCTCCTGTCGCTGCTGCATCAACTCGTGTCGCTGCCGCATCAACGCCTGTCGCTGCCGCATCAACGCCTGTCGCTGCCGCATCAACTCCTGACGCTGTCGGATCTACACCTGCCGCTCCCGAACCCACACGGAACCGTCAACCTGTCGCTGCCGGAACTACTCGGCAAGGTCCTCGCCTTAAAAGGGGTATTAAAGTGAGGTACCACCAGACCAAGATCGGGTGGGGTTCCAGTCAAGCTACACCAACGTCCGGTGTGGGTAACTCTTCCCCGAAGGCCCGTCAGCGTAAAATGAAGGGGAAAGCGGTTGAGGTGTCTTCCGATACAGAACTGCCCGACATTGCGGAGGAGAAATACCAAGAGGCTTTAGCTATGTTTAACAAACAATGGTCTGACGACTACCCGTGGCTTGTACTGCTGCAGAATAAAGCAGGGTTCCCGTCAATCAAGTGCAAGGTCTGCATTGCGCACGCCGGTACGGGGACGAACTTCGGCGCCAAAGGAGAAGGGGCGACCGATGTTCAGACTCAGGCGATGCGGAAGCATCAGCGCACAAGGAAGCACCGCCGCGCTGTGCGCAGACAGAAGACAGCCGAGGCCGCTCTCAAAGCAAATGCACGTATTGACGACAACCCGAATGTGAAAGACGTGGAGAAGGAGCGCCTGCTCGCGCTGTTTCAGCCGGCGCTCTTCATCGCTAAGTCCGACGCCCCGATCGAGATGTACGTGGACCTCGTCCAACACCTGGCGCAGCGTGGCACCCCGGGCTTCCCAAAGAACAGTTATGGTGCGTACTATACGACGTAAGTGACACTGCTCTTGTTCAACTGGCAGCGGGTTGTGATGTACTTGCAGCTATCTCTGACCCCACCCGTTGATGCCCGTGCAGGTACGGATTCGAGGAGATAACCGCCGCAATAGCGACATACCTTCGTGCGCGCCAGAGAGAATTCATCAACTCGAGTCCATTTATTGGTCTGACCTGCGACGAGAGTACGGACCGCGTCAAAGGCAAGCACATGATTGTGTTTGCAACCTTTCTACGTGAGCACGCCGTCACCACAGAGTTCCTAACTAACCTCTCCATCGAGAAGTGTGATGCAGCTTCTCTTTTTTCTAAGCTCACGGAATTCCTTGACAGTATCAACCTCCCGCTGGAGAAGGTTGCGGGTATCAGCACCGATGGGGCACCTGTGATGATAGGCAACGACACGGGCCTCGTTGGGCGCCTTCGCCTGGAGATCCCGCACGTGGTGGCTTGTCACTGCATCGCACACAGGTAAGCTGATGCTGTGGTGGTGTTGTAGCAGTGTGAAATGTGCAACGTGGCAGTGCGAATTCTAACACCCCCACCTGTGCTTTCCTACCCGTGTTAGAGAGGCGCTTGCTGCAAAGGAGGCGGCTAAGGCACTGCCCGAGCTTGGCATCATTGACGCGGTCATCCGCGCATTGGCGGAAGATCTAGGCAGATCCAGCAACTACAACCGCAAGTTCAAGGAGCTGCAGGAGGTGTTCACGCACACCAACCTCGAGGTCCAGGAGATCCACTCGGTCCGCTGGTTGAGTCGGGGCGATGCTATCGCCCGATTCGTCCGCGTTTTCCCTGCGGTCATCGTCATGCTCGAGGAGACGGACACGACGATGTACCAGTTGGTGACGTCGTTCAAGTTTCATTTTTTTATGTTCTTCTTGGCAGATGTGCACTCGGCACTCAACGCGCTCAACTTGCTATTCCAGAAGCGTCAGGTGAGGTGTTGAGTTACGTAGTGCTTTTCTCATCTTCTAAACCCAGTTACTTATCTTTTGTTTCGGTGTACCTACTCTCCCCCTACCAACAGGTTGACCTCACTGCAGTGCACTCCCAGGTGAGGCGGACCATCATTTACATGGAGCAGCGGTACCTGCAATGTGGCCAGCAGTTTGGCGGTGGGACCAGCGAGCTGCTGTCTGCATTCCTCGCGCGGCACGTCTCCCCGGACTGCCGTGAAGTGACTGTGGAGGGGGTGGACAAGGATGGTGAGGCCCGGGTACACAAGTTCGACCTGCACGAGGAGGCCGTGAAGGGATACACCACCAGCAGCGGGGACATGCAAGGCTGCTACACCTGCTGCCGCTCCTTCGCCCGCGAGCTGGTGTACAACCTCGAGCTGCGCTTGGGAGACCTGACGCGCTTGAACGGGGCGAAGCTCTTCATGCCCCGCTCGTGGCCGAGGGGCGCCGAGGCTAGAGACGCCGAGTGCAAGGAGCACCTGCACGGCCTCGTCCATCTGTTCCAGGCCAAGAACCGGGACACGATCTTGCCAGGTGAGCTAGAGACGGAACCCCTATGCTCTGCGTGTGTGCGTAGCCGTTTCCGTGGTTGCGTTATTGCCATGTTGAGAGCTTGACTTTCTACCCGGTTGTGCTCTCCTGTTTGGCAGGTGTCCAGAAGCGTGCAGCTCGAGCGGAGCTGCGCACGTTCCTGCCGGTGCTCTCCACTGCGCCCAAGGAAGAGCAGCCCTTTCACGCAGGCTTGAAGGCCATTTTGCAGACCAAGGACTGGCAAACCAGCTACCCCAACCTAGTCCGTCTGTGGGCTGCCGTCGCTGTACTGCCGCTCAGCACAGTCGAGTGCGAGCGCGGGTTTTCCCGCCAGAATGTGATAAAGTCGTGGCGCCGGACGAGTCTCTGCAACGCCAAGCTGGGAGATTTGATGGCGATGTCGCTGCTCGACTACGACATGGACTGGGACAAGGTGGTGGACATCTGGCGGAGTACCAGGAACAGGCGCCCCAGCAAGCGCAAGGAGCAAGCTGCGCCAGAGAAGGAGCGGGCCAAGGCCAAGTTTGTTAAGGGGAGTGGCCGCCGGCTGGTGCAGGTGGAGGAGGAGCTAGATGAGGGCATGAGTGGTTCTGCAGGCGATGACAGTGAGAGTGATGATCATGGCAGCAGTAGCAGTAGCGTTTCTTCTTCAGATGATGACATGAGCTAGTTCTCTAGTAGTACTAGTTAGGTAGGTTAGGTTAGGTATATTTATTTTGGACTTTTTTACACTGAAGGATCAGTACAGTGGAAAATTTTACCCTGACAGGATCAGTATATTGAAAACCACCAACGCTGATTTGGACACCTGGTTGGCAGGGGCACGCTGATCCATCAGCATACCCTCAAACCAATCTGAGGGCCTGGTTGAAGCAACAGCTGGAGGTTACGCGAAGGTCAAAGGTCAGCGACCTTTGACTTGACAAATGCAGCACGACAGCAAGGACACACAACTGACTCGATATTGAGCAGTTGCCTGAGTCGCACTGTATCGAACCGCAACAGCCAACAGTAAAACAGTTATCATTCGTATCTCTTCATATTCCTTGTAATCATATATAAAATCTTGTATCTCCTTGTTTTAATCAACTTACTTTGCCCTCACATACTAGCGCAAGGTCGTTCAGAATCTCTTTGTTAACGCTTCCGCTACTACATCATTCTACCCAGAGATTAACCCTACCAAAGATCCTAAGGGGCACTCAGCCCAACAAGAGTTACGCCAAAAAATGAAGAATTAAGCTCTATCCTACGGTAGAAATATACCGTAATCCCCCGTGTATAAGACCCTAGGGTATTATGATAATCACCCCTAAAAAGGCTAGGGGGTATAATCAAATGGTATATTTTTTAGAAGACCCGGTTCTGTTCACATTGACATTTATAAGAATGCAAGATGTTGTACAATTCAGTCTCATAAGTTCAGTCGAATCGAACTTATACAGCGTCCTGATTCAGAATCGCGCGAGGGCGTTTCCCTGACTGTGCATAGAGATTTGGCACGTCACTTTGCCCGCGTGCCAGCTTATCCTGACAGGACGCGCAACAAGTGAAGCCTTCGAAAGTCAAACACATTGAAAATGGGTGTTGATTCATTTGAAATTCGAAATTCGTTACCGTTTCCATCAGGATTGAAAAATAATGCATGCGCTTATAATAAAACAGGGTATTTCAGGGGGAGTGGGGGGGGGGGCTTATAATCTAATTCCGGCCATAGGTGCCATGCTCCAGATAGAAGCGCCGGCGCCTTTAATCGGACGGCGCCTATATCCGGGGCCATAGGGTATGACCATTTCCAATTGCATTATTGTAAAATCCGCACTTCTCTAGGATGTGGGGGGGTCTTATAATGTTAGGAGCCATTTAGGGGGGTATAACTCAGATGCACTCAAAAGTACCCGGGTCGGTATTATAGACCCCGGGGTCTACAACTGGGGGGGGTCCTATATACGGGGGGATTGCGGTAGTTGCATGAGCTCGGAAATGGAGTTTTTCTGGTTTTTTTGCTGCTTGAGCTGCATTTCTATCCCCGACACAATGAAAGTGCGCGAAATCATTGTGTTTAATAGGCTCTCTTGCTTGAGCTTTGTTTCAGTTAGAAAGAAGAGCGGGTCAATGGCTTGGTGGGGCGTCTGCTGCTTGAGCCGTGTTCCGAGCCACCTGGCAGGGGAGAAGGAAGGGGGGGGATGTAAGGAGGGACATGGGGGGAAAGGGGGAAGCAAAACTACCATCAAAAACTAGAAAAAAACCACTTGATCACATGCACAATCACACTCAGAACCATAATCGAAACTCATGCACATAATATGAGCTTAGCAGCCCAGATATAATCCACGGGGAGAGGAAGGTCAAGGGAAAGGAAGTAATAGGGGGAGGAGGGGTGATGGCAACAGGTGACATGAGAGGGGACCATGGAAATGACACTATTGATATATTTGAAGTTCTACCGTCGCAAGTTGCTGAGTGTTTCTCTTAGCTTTGTTCTCTGCTGATCCACCTGCTAACACCCCTGCTCAATACTCAGTACTCCACAAATTGCACCCGTTTAGCAAAATTCTGTTCCTGACTTCCTCCATACCTGTCTCAGCATGAAATTCTCCCGCTGCAAGGTGCTAAGTGTTTCTTTTAGCTCAGCGTTCCGCTGGTCCAGCTGAGAGACCCGCCCCTCCAGTTCTGAAAGGTACTGCTTCCGCCGCTCTCTTGCCTGCTGCGCCGACACCCTGTTGCGAAGCAGCCTGTAGGGGGATGGATTGAGGTATGAATTCGATTATGCTGATGCTAATCCAAACTAGGCAATGTTGCCTCGCCTGCTGTAGCGACACCCTGTTTTGAAGCAGCCTGTAAAGGAGACGGAATAAAACCTGAATACGATTGTGGTGATGGTGAAGATACTCAATCGCTCCTTTCTCGCCTACAGAGCCGATACCATGTCACGAAGCCGCCTGTAAAAGGGGGTAATGGTGAGAAGGGAAGGATAATCCACGGTACAAGTCAGTCAAACCCGCCTCAGTTAACTGTTCCACCCACATCACCACATGGTTCCCCACATGGTTCCCCACATGCTTCCCCACATGCTCCCCAATTGTTTCCCTATCAAGCCCACATACCTCCCTTTTACTCCACACCACATACCTCCCTAATACTCCACATACCTTGTAAGTCGTTCACGCAACCCCCAGAATTCTCCTTACACCATGAACTCCAGATAGTCATAAGTTGTTAGCGTACGTCCTAAGCCGTTCACATACCTCCTTAATCTCTTGTGCTCTCGCTCAGCCGTGCTTCCCCCTCTCCGCCTCACTCCACCCCCACCCCCTGCGCCCCCCACACCACCTTCAACCCCCGCCCTTCCCCCTCCCCCTCCCCTCCCCCCCGCCTGCCCCCCTTCCTCCCCCTCATCCTCCTCCTCCTCCTCATCCTCATCGTAATAATCATCCTCTCCCCCCTCCCCACCTTCCCCCCCATATCCCCCTTCTTCTTCATTTCCAAAAGAGGCGCCACCACCAGAAGCGGCATTTTCAGCGGGTGAATCACCCGGATTCACCCGCAATTCCGCCTGCCCTGCCGCTGCCCCCGCTTCCCGCCCCCCAGCTCCGGCGCCTGCCCCTCCCCCTTCCGCTCCCCCTCCCCTTTCCCCTGCCCCTGCCCTTCCCCCTCCCCTTTCCCCTCCTGCTGCACCCGTTGCGGCGGCACCAGAGTTGTTATTAAGCCGGAATCGGGGGACTTGCGCGTCTGCATCCTGGTCTGACTCGTTACAAGCGGGGCAATGGGGGCAACGGGGGGGACGGGGAGCGGGAGAGCGTGGAATGAGGAGGAGTGGGGAGATGGGGATTGGGGACGCGAAGGGAGCGCGGAAGGAGGGGCGACGTGAGAAAACGGGGTGAGCGACGAATTAAGGAAGGGAAACGGGAGGAGCGGGAAAAGGAGAAGGGGCAAAGTGGGGAAAGCGGGAAAAAGGGAAGGGGGAAAGCGGGGGAGCGGGGAAAAGGAAAAGGAGGAAGGCGGGGGGAGCGCCGCCGTAACATCCGCCAACTTTATACTAATCGTCAAGCTGCTAATTCTGTTGTTCTCTAGTCTAACATTTAGGCAAAGAGCATACCTGCTGTTCGCGCCGTCGTGACGTCAGCCATCTTCATCAAGTCTAACAAACCACTCTTGGAGAACTAAGCGTTCGTAAGCGTCAGCTGCTAAGCGTCCACTAAGCGCCAGTTGCTAGTAAGCGTCAGCCACTAAGCGTCAGCGGACAGCCTAAGGCTCTAACGCGTCACTGTCAACTTGACTTAACGGATTGCAGAGATGATGTAGATCGCGGAATGCGGGGGATAATCGCAATCTTGGAGCCACCGAAGCCGCTTGTAAGAAGCGCGGGACAATCGGAGTCTTGGCGCACGCACGGTGAAAATTCGCGCGAACGCCGCTGAAAACATAAGCTGCACTGCGGTCCTAATTATCACAAATTCAAACGCTCCTCTTCGTTCGCTCTGGTTACTCAACATTGGTAAGTCGTCCACCAATCAAGAGTCGCGTCGCGAAATGCCTTCAGTTCAGAACCTACGTTCCACGCCCTAATGGGTCTTCAATTGGCCTGTCTGAAAGTGTGAGACGTGGCTGCATCACACACCACTAGTATATGAACTGACGTGTAACCGTTCGGGCCTGAAACATCAGGCCTCGACAAGGTGTATTTGACCTCAATATTGAGCTAAAGCTTGAGCCGACCTTAAAAACATACCGCAGAGTGCAAACAAATGTTGAAATAACAATACTTGGAATAGCGAATTTACAGTTGATGATACAGTGAAACGCAAAACAGGTCAATTTCTGCAGAGTGTACCAGACTATCCATGCAAAGCAGCTATCATCGACCAGCCAAATGCAACCTTAACAACTCAGTTTAGTCCATTGCCCTGCAATAGCAACACAAGAGGGCTGAAACTACAACCCATTCCCATTAATGCTCCACACTAACTTTCAATTGGGTAAAACAGGGTGGAAGCTACCTTCCTGCGGGTTCATATTCATCCCAAGGGTCCTTTTGACCGGCTGGAATGAGAAACGCTCCATTGTACCGGGGGATTTAAGGGCCAAGGCTCAAAATCACCCTTGCACAGGCTCATATCCATCCCAAGATGGCCCCAAATGATGGTCAGAAGGAGCCAGCAGCAGGTCGGAAGGAGCCAGCAGCAGGTCAGCAGGAACCAGCACGAGGTCAGCAGAAGCCAGGAGGTCAGCAGATGCAAGCAAATTCAGACAACAGCAGATCAGCAGAACCAGCAGCAGGTGAGCAACGAGCATATCTATAGCGCAGCAGGGCCCGCAGAAACCAGCAGCAGGTTAGCAGAAGCAAATCAGCAGAGGCAATCAAATTCAGCAGCAGAGGCAACCAGGTCAGCAGACCACAATGGGGTGATCTTCAGAAGATTATTTAAGCTGCCTCCTTGATAACCCAGATCATGGCACGATAAGTTAGCAACTCAGCGGTTCATTAGTTGAGGTTAATGGTGTCAGAACTCCGCACCAGCAGGGACGGGTCACATCAGCCACGTCAGCATCTGACGCCTGCAGAACCGAAGTCGAGCGGACGAAAGAGTCTCCTTAGATTGCCGGAGGGTCGGCGTGGAGCTTGGGTCAAAGGAGCCCTGAAGTTCTCAACCGTGGCAAGCGTCGGGGATGCAAGCGGAACAATCGAGTCGGTTGCAGATGCGCTGCAACATTCGGGATTGCGCAGTGCTGTTCTCCCACTTGTGTCATGCTCCACATTGTCATATCGGTTCAGGGTTGTAGCGCCAACATTGTTGCCATTGATGCCGCCAAGACGTGAAATGAAGGTGGAAAATGTCACCTTCTTAGGTGTTCCAGGACACTCTGCTGGGACAGGAATCCGAGATCCATCTCCTTGAGGGGTAGAAAATTCGGAAGATGATTCAAATGTTGAACCCGATGGAGCAACTTTAAGATTAGAGTTTGGTGTAGAAAATCCAGCGTTTGTAGGAAGCGTCAAACGGTAATCGAGTTCAGCCTGTCCAGAGGATGATGAGCGATTGATGCGTCCAAAATATGCTTGAGATGGAGATGAATCGTCGCCGTCGACGGTTGTCAGAACGCTGCGATGCGGTGAACAAAAAATTCGCGCTCCCTTGTTGGGAGTCGTCCTTTCGGCCTTCTCTGGTTCCGAAGCACCTTCAAACGCGGATGCATGTGGTCGCTGAAAAAAACAAGACGGTCAAGGAAATATAGAGGGAGAAAGAAGTTTAGGAAAGAGATGAGTTCTAAAATCAACACAAGGAATAAAGCGCAAAGAAGAAAGCGATGCTGCAAGCCGTCAGATGAAACTGCTCCGAAAACCTTCCACCAACCAGCACGACAGCAAGCAACACGAAAACACACAGCCCCTTCCGCTGACGGCCCCTACTAGAGCGCCATTCCCATTCCCAACCTCTCCCACTCCCAGCGCGGACGCCTCGACCCGGCAGCTCCATACCTTAGTGCCAGACAGTGATACGGTAGACTTGCGCGCGTCGGCAGGCAAATCGGACGGGCAAAGTTTTCCCACTGCCAGTTTGCTCGAACTGGACGCATCTAGACCGTCAACGCCTCCGTTCTTGTAAGTAGCACAGCGAACTTCGTTGCAATCAGCAACAACAGGCACATCGTCGCATTCAGCAACAGCAGACACGTCGCCAGCGGTGTCGCCTATGACGGCGGCGACAGTTGCGATAGAATCGTCCGCAGAAGCGACGGACGAAAGAAGTTGCCGCGACTCAGATCCAGATGCACCTTCCAAAGTCTCCTCCGCGAGACGTATGGACATGGTAACCATGCTCGCGCGAAAACAGCCCCTGTTACAATGTAACAAACGCTGGAGCCGCCTCAGATGAAGATCTGGAATTTCAACACGGCGGTTCTCGACTGCCCGGCTTTCTCGAACGCAGAAATAAATGCCGCGAAACCCGGCGCGTATTAAGCAGATAGAGATGCCCCTGAATTCACAATGGGAGGCTGGAACAGACGAAGAGGGCAGCGCGAGACGGCCTGGAGAATAAAGGCTTAAAAAGCGTAGCTTGGCCTACACGCCCGGACCTCCTTGCTTTCAGGAGACGGATATCCTTCAACGTTTTGAATCCACAATGTGGAGCGCAAGAGAGCTCGAATGGCAGCGGCGATGGAGGGAAAGCGCTGACCGCAAGAGATTTGACCGAAGGTGACAGCCGGAAAAATCAATGTTCGACCGCAGTGGAAAGACCGGCAGCTGCGAGATTGAGGTTGAGAGCAGCTGAAGACAAGGCTGGGGAGACGCTTTCAGAGAATGCAGCTAGCTTTGTTCTGGAATGCAATGCGCAGTAGCAAGTCTTTCAGAGGAGACTAATGTGCGTTGGCTGTAGCTTGAAAACCTCGGGCTGAACAAGCCTGAAACACAGCCTGTTTGGGAAGCGAAGGAACTGCTGATGATGTGAGAAAGGCACTGAGGATTGAAGGACCCTCTCAGGACTTACGGACGGAGTCGGGAGGGTTGGTTTGGGACTTCTGAGAAGTGTTGGGGAACTGGACTCGAGAGGCTTGTTTGGGTGCTCGAGAGAGGCTTGTTTGGGTGCTCGAGAGCGATACAATGTTTGCGTACTGTAGCGAGGGAGGTGATCTGGGGGTACAGTACGGCGCCCTACGTGTTGCGTGAGTGTGCGAAAAGTGAGAGGAGAAGGGGGTTCAACATGCGAAGAAAGCATACGATTGGAGGGGCGAAACGTGTGTGTGCCTAGCCTACGCTACACATGTTCCGCGATAATTCCACACCCTTTATCTTCACGACCTGGGGTACCTACCCTCGAAAGAACCGATTTCGAAGGTAGTTAGCAACGCTCGAAGAATTTTCAAGGTTAATGAAACACAATCTCAATGCGAGGTTACCGCAGGAACAATCTGGCACTGGAATTTTCCCCGCTCACTCGACCTACAAAGTTCGAGTTTGGAAAGGCCTTGACCTGGTGGCTATTTCCTGATAGACCCGCAATGTCAGGGCGTCCGTCTCATCAAACCTTCAACCATGTAGGGTGTCTGAGTAGAATCAAAGTTCAGGGTGTGGAAATATCGGAGAACAGGTGTAGTTTGTTCTGTAGAGAAATAACGCGCTCTGTGAGGGGAAGAATGCGGGGGAGCGGAGAGACGAAGGGAGTAGCGGAAGAGGGGAGGATGAAGTGGAGTCGGAGAAATTGGGCAAGGGGGTGACGCAATTGTGTTTGTGGCTGGGGCTGTGCATACATGCGCTGCGGTTGAATGGGTGAGCGAAAGGGGGCTCCTTTCCTCTGGCTCCCATCCATCCCATCCATGTCAACGCTGCACTAGGTTCGGTGCGGATAGGGTTGTCTGTTCTGTCCTTGCCTGGTGCTCCCTTTCTTTCCCTTTCACGAACCCTATCTGCACGAAGCTTGAGTGGGAGTTGGAATGGTCTGGTCGCACTTCGGACTGGTCAAGTTGCCGTGTCATCTCTCCGTGTGACTCCTGCTGCTGACTAGGAAAATGATGATGTGGCAGACAAGAGACTGTTCAGTAACAAGCGAAAAGGCCTAATTTCCAGATCACTTGGGACGTGCAGAATGAGGCCAGTCTGGGCTGCCCAAAAAACGATCTTTCAGCGATTACATCCACCGAAAAAACTTGTTTCCATCCTCGTCATCGTGCCGTAAGCAGTAGGGAGGTGGGGTTGGATTGACTTCAGCCTGCAGAAGCGCAGAAAAGTACATGATAGTCAACGTAATTTCGGCAAACGCCAGATGTTGGCTGGTGGCGCTGGCTGGCTGACTGGGGGGAACGAAAACTGTAGATGCGAGGATCAAAGGGCAGCCACGAAAACATTATGTAGAAAGTGCGTGCGTAACTCCCTACAGTAGTGTGCTGTTTCGAATGACGTCGTTCTTCCTACAGTGAAAATAGAACGTTATTCCCTATTGGCTGAAGATAGCGTCGTCAACGCGATAGAGCGCCGTGCCACGTCATTGCAAGAATTCGACCAGTCAAGTGCAGGGTGCTAGCAGTCAGATCACATGCAGTTCTGCATTTGACACATCACAAATTCCTCATTTTTGCCGAGCTGTCGACCTTGTCCCAGAAAAGTGTGATATCTGCTTAGATGTATCTTCGACCGTCCAAAAAGCACATCCGATAGGGTTTGTGTTTGGGTGGTCTTGGTAGCACAGCGAGGGGGCGCGAGTACTTCGCACCTTACGAATACGTTCGGAGTTTTTGGCGGGAAATATCGTCCCCCTATTCCCAGCTTGAAGCGCGGGAGCTCCTTCCCGCCACTAGAAGCTTCGGAGAGCATCTTCGCACGTCATCGAAACTGAACACGTCATCAGGGTTTTGACCAGCAACGCCTGCATACGTGTCATCGTCCAGGAAGCCTGGAAATCGTGAAGAGAAACTGAACCATTATGCCTCAGCACAAAACCCCCATAAAATCATGCATCAATATCATGTACCTCTGTTACGGGTGCAATGAATCAAAGTAGCGAGAATTGCACTAAGGGCGTGTTCCTACACTCTTATCAGGCAAACCTCTTGTCAGCCTTGCCTGGTAAAATTAGCGAGGGTTTTGGGGTTTAGGTAATTTCCAGGGGGAAAAGTAGCGAGCTTGATAAGAGGTTGCCCTAATAAGCGGCCGTAGGAACACGCCATAAGGGCGAGTAAAATTGCAACGACCAAACGCTATGGTCGATGATTTGGGCGTCTCTGGCAATTGCGAGGAATTAGGGTTACGACGATTGAGGTATTCACCCCGATATGACTGATTTTCACTGGTAATTTCTGAGCAGAAATTTATGAGAAGACTGAAACGAGAATGAAGGAACTATTAATGAAATGAGTACAAATACTAACACTACTTGGGTTGTACCCCCTATGGGATACCCCACTACAGCCTACACAAAAGCATAAGCTATGATGTTCTCACACACCCCCATAGGCAAAGTGGGGGAGATCAAGGGGTCACAAGACCAGTCAAGCAAAGCAAAGCTCAGGGTGGATCACAAAGTCACCACACATTCCGAGCACAAGTACAAGGCCACAAGGCCAGTTCACATGCAGGAGTACATATATATATAAGGCTAGACAAGCAAGAGCAGGTGTATATATAAATGTAACAGTACAAGCAAGGTCAAGAGGTGAGCAAGTGAGGCAAGACAGGTACAAGACCCAACTGACTGCAGAAGCGCTGATGATCACAAGGCGGAAGTACCTTGGTGAAAACATCAGCAGTGTTGGCCTCAGAGGCCACGTACGCAAGCCGCAAATGTCCACGCTGCTGTAGCTCACGAGCAAGAAAGTAACGGAGAGCAATGTGCTTTGTTCTGTGCTCCAGTCGCTGCTCTCGACACAAGGCCAGCATGGCCTTGTTGTCTACGTACAGCACTAGAGGAGAACGAGGCGGCTCTCCGAGGTCAGACAGTAGGTAGCTGAGCCAGCGAAGCTTCTGTGCAGCCATGGCCCCACCGTAGATCCCAGCCTCAAAACTGGAGCCGAGAATAGAAGACGAGCGAGTAGCCCGCTACGAGACAGAGCCGGAACCAAGGCTGAAGGTGTAACCTTGTGACGACCGCTGCGTAGCCTGGTCGTCAGCCCAAGAAGCGTCTGCGTGCCCAGTGAGGACCACTAGACTGCGCCCTCCAAGCACTAGCCCCATGCCCGACGTACTGCACAAGTAGCGCAACACCCTCTTCGCTGCAGCCATGTGCTCTGGTCGGTGTCTCCCAGGAGCAACATAGCGTGTGAGAATGCTAAGAGGGTATGCAAGGTCAGGTCGTGTGCAGGTCATCAGGTACATGAGGTACCTAATGACGTACACGAGGATGTAGAACGGCAGCAGAGAGGTGTCGGTGCGTAGAAACAGCGACGGTTCAGCAGTAGAAGGAGCAAACCCAAGAGCCGCAAGTGTAGTCCTTAGTGTGTTGTGCCACTCACATGGCGCCTGGCGGAGACCGTAAACTAAACGCCGGAGGCTCCACTGGGTACTAGGAGGGAACGACCCAGTGAAGCGAGGTGGGCGGAGCAGCCAGATCTCCTCGTGCACGCTGCCCTGCAAGAAAGCTGTGCTAAAGTCGAGAGAGTGCAGCTCGTAGTCACGGTGAGCAGCAACGTGCAGTAGTACCCGAAGAGTGGTCATCTTCGGGGTGGGAGAGAAGGTCTGAAAGTAGTCAACTCCCTGCCGCTGACTGAAGCCACGAGCCACGTAATGCGCCTTGAAGACAGGCGGAGAACCCGGCGGCCGCTTCACTCTGAAGATCCACATGCCACTTACGATGTTCGCCCCAGGCAGGGGAACCTCGTCAACGTAGGTGCGTGTGGACTTCCAAGAAGCCATCTCTGTGTCCATAGCTACCTGCCAGTGAGAGGAGTAGGGACCCCCTATCGCCTCCTCGTAGGAGCGCGGAGTCGGGATGTCAAGTGCATCCGGGTCTCCCTCAGGGGTAAGCAGTACGGACACGAGATGAGGTGAAGCAGTAGCCAGACAGTGGAACTCCTCCTGCGTGTCCTCAACGACTTCCGTGCCAAGGGCACACTCACCCTCGACGGACAGAGGACAGACAGACTCAGACTCAGCGACAATTCTAGCAGCGTAGTCTAGGCGACAGCGAGAAGCAAAGTCGACGAGCTCAGCAACTAGAGCAGACGCAGCAGTGGACTCAAAAGAAGGGTCAGTGACGATAGTAGCCAGGAGACGCGTGACAGTAGGAATGGCAGCACGAAGAGAGTCTGACTCCGGGTCGGCAAGAGCAGGAAGAGAGGACTCAGGAGGAGAAGGCAAAGGGGCACGCAGAGAAGCAGTGGACGGACGCAGAGACATCCGGTGCGTGCCAGGGACAGGAGGAGGACGCTGACGCGAACCACGACCACTATCGCGAGCAGGACGGACAGGCGACGTAGGGCGAGACGCAGGCTCACGACGCTCAGCAAGACCTCCAGTAGGACCAGTGTAGGGAGAAGGAGCAGGCAAAGGGGAGGTAGGCTGCAACTGTAACTGTGACGGGACAGGCTGTGGACACTCTAAGGAAGGAGGAGGACCAGTAGAAGGTAGAAGACCAAGAACCTGCTGAAGGAGTGGAACGAAGTACGGTCGAGGCCGCGTGGCGGCGCCAGACACAGCAGGGACACCCCTAGTGCCCCCTGCAGGAGCACCTGCTCTAGCAGCACCTCCAGTAGCTCCAGAACCTCCAGCAGCACAGAAGTACCCCCAGTAGGACCGCAATTGGTAGTCTCAGCGCCAACACCCTCAGCAGCACCAGCTCCAGTCGAACCTGCAGGCACATCAGCTCCAGTACTCCCAGTACGAGCACCTTCGGGACCCGCGTCAGCAGCACCCACAGTAGCTGAAGAACCTCCAGCACCAGCATCACGGCTCCAGCGCCGGTCAAACCACTCGCGCAGCCCTGTGGAGAGAGTGGCTCGCGCAGAGACAACGCATTCGGAGAACCTCCAGGCGTAGCACCTCCAAGCTCAGCACCCCCAGGCTCAACACCCCCAGGTGTAGCACTCCCAGGTACAGCACCCCCAGGCGTAGCACCCCCAGGCACAGCACCCCCAAGCTCAGCACCCCCAAGCTCAGCACCCCCAGGCTCAGCACCCCAAGTTTCAGCACCCCCAGGCTCAGCACCCCCAGTCTCAGCACCCCTAGGCTCAGCACCCCTAGGCTCAGCACCCTCAGCAGCACCAGAGTCACCAGTAACCTCGACAGGCTCGACTCCGTCTACCTGGGACACACCTGAAGGGGCAGGACCCTGAGGGGGGAGGGGGCCTACCGGGGGGGGACCTGGTACAAGGAAGAGCGAGGGGGGGGGAGGGACGGAGTGCGGTAGGGGAAGAGGCGGTAGTAGGGGACCGACTCGTCAAAAGTGACGTCCTGGGAGGAAAGAACACGGCGAGAGGTGGGGTGGTAGAACTGCCACCCAGGCGCGTCAGGGGGGAACCCAAGGAAGACGCAAGGAGCAGCACGAGGGGAAAGCTTGTCCGTAGAGAAGTTGCGAACAAACGCCCGAGATCCCCAGACCCGGAACGCCGACGCATCGCCAACCTTCCCTGTCCACAGCAAGGCTGGGGAGGTCTCCGGCCTGGAGACCCTGGGGTGGAGGTTGATCTGATGTGCCGCGTACCTCACCGCAAACGGCCACAGAATATGGGGAGCAGCCGCATGCATCATATACGTACGAGCGACGTCCATGACCATGCCAATGCGGCGCTCAGCAATCCCATTTTGCTGCGGGGAGTCCTCAAGCGTGAAGGTCTGACGGATGCCTCGTGCGTGACAGTAGGCTCTCAGAAGGCCAGAGGAAAACTCTCCGCCTCTGTCCGAGTGCAGACGCAGAACAGGAAAGTCCGAGCCAAAGCTCTGCCTGAGCTGGAGAAGAGGTGCGCAGATCCAGTCGATCAGCACCTCAGTGACATCACCCTTGCTGCGCAAGGGGAAGACCGCGGTGTTACGCGAGTAGTCGTCAACAACAAGCAGGAAGAAGCGCTCGTGACCCTGTCCACGGACGCGGGCTGGGCCCCACACGTCCATGTGAAGCGTCTGCAGCGGGGCCTCTGTCGGAGGAAACTGGGAGGAGTGAGGGGCAGCCCGCTGGCGCCCCTCGACACAGGGGACACAGGTAGGGCCAGGGCCCTGAGGAAGGGGAGGGAGGGACCGGGGGAGACCAGAAACAAGAAGACGGGAGGCCATGCCTCTGAGCCGAAGCAGAGAGGGGTGACCAAGGCAATGCTGCCAGAGAAGAGTCTCGTGAGACAGGAGACGACACGAACAGGGGGCAGACTCAGGACCAGACGTGGATGCTGCACCAAACACCTTACCCGACGCAGCTACCCTACGAGACTCAACAACTGGAGGAGACGCAGTGGTCAGTGTGTACAGGCTTGACCCCGGCTGACGGGTAAACGTAGCTTGGTGTCGGCCTGTGCTAGCCTCTGTGTAGTGCGTCACCCGCTGACGCACAGGACTGAACCGGTGTACTCCCCCATCCTGTAGGTCAGCACCACTCACCAGGTTTGTACAAAACGAGGGGAGGTAGAGACCAGACAGCGTGCCAGAGGGAGCCGTCGGACACGGGAGGACTGTGGAGAAGTGAGACAGGACAAGACCCCCAGAGGGGTCAGCCAGAGACATCGCAACTGGCCGACTAAGCGGCGTGAGTGTGGTGCGGTCCCGAAAGAAGGAGCGAGAAGCCCCAGAGTCAAGGGTGAAGGTGAGGGAGGCCGAAGCCGACGCAGTACCTGAGAGCGCAGACTCACCAGTACCTGAGGACGTAGACGCACTAGCACCTAGAACAGCAGAGTCGAAAGCACCTAGGGCAACAGCCTCACTAGTACCTAGAGCAGCAGTCTCAATGCCCGAATCAGGCGGGAAACACCGGTAACAGTCACCCTCATCACTAATAGACACAGCATACATGGCAGAAAGGATAGCATCAAAATCAAGATCATAGATGGCAACTCCCGCCCTAGACAGCTCGCCCCAGCGAGGGATCTCTGTGGCCTCCGGGAACTGGTGACGCCACGCGTCCGTCAGGCGGCCAAAGCAGCGCTGGGTGGGGTGCGCACCCCCACACTCCTCACCCGCACGGTCGCCGGTGCGCAGGACGTAGGTGCACGGACCAAAACCCCCACCCCGCTGGCGTGCAGTGTACCACTCATGGAGCTGCTGGGGGGACAGGGTCTCACGACCGCGCTGCTGCTGCTGGCGCGGACCACCACCGGAGCCACTCCTCTGCGTAGACCCGTGACCAGCTCCACCGCCACCCCCGCCGCCTCCGCCGCCTCCACCGCCTCCGCCGCCTCCACCGCCTCCGCTACTACCGCCGCCTCCGCCGCCTCCTCCACCGCCACCACCTCCGCCACCTCCGCTCCCACCCGCCACCGCCGCCGCCGCCTCCGCCTCCACTGCCGCCACCGACACCTCCACCCCCACCTCCACTCCCACCGCCACCCCCACTCCCCCCGCCGCCTCCACCTCCACCTCCACCACCCCCGCTCGCTCCTCCAGTGCCCGTGCCCCCCTTGCCTTTGCCAGAGCGGCGTCTCCTGCTAGAGGCAGACGCCGCACCGACCGACTCAAGACCAAGGAGGTCGGCCGCTGCAGCACAGGCAACAGAGGGCAGAAGGGGGGAGGGGGAACACCCCTCAAAGATGGGGGTGCGCGGGTCACCACGAGAGGCCCCTACAGCGACTATGCTCTTCTCGACCGCTAGGAGGGACTTCTCGAGGAGGTCAACAGTGAGAGTGGTGGGACAGACTGAGAGGAAGTGGTCCTTGACTATGCGAAGGGAGTCAGGGAGGCGAGTGACTATGTAGTAGAGAGTGATGTACATGGGGGGGGGGGTTCTTGGCGCAGAAGTCAGCTGGAAGCGCAGCGCGGTAGCGAGTGTCACTAGTGCGGAGGTGCGTAATGAGGTCAGCGACTGTGGGAAAGGCAGCAAGGTCATGGAAGAGGTGCGGTAGCATGAGACGGCTCAAAGCAGCAGTGGCAGGGGAGGAGTAGCGTGCAACTACAGCGTGGTACAAGGTCTGAGCACTCTTGTACTGACTAAAGTGCGCACGCTCAGAGGTAGGGAGGTGGCGACGCACAGCAAGACGTGCAGCAGCATCGCGCGTGGCCCACTGTGAGCGAACAGTGGCGTCACCATCAGCAGCAGGAGCAGGAGAGGCACCAGAGGTGAGGTCAAAGAGGGAGAGACCGTGTGCCCTATCGCACTGTAAGAACAGCTGCAGGTCATCTACCCAGACGTCAAAGTCAATGGCTTGACCCTCGGCGTCAAAAGCGAGGACACTAGGGGTAGCCATGACAACAGTAGACTAGCAGCGCTAACTATAGAGCAGGGGCTGTGCAGTGACAGAGGCGCTGCGCTCACCAGATAGGGCGGTTCGGGCAGCTCGGGCGGCTCGGCAGCAACTGCGGCTCGGCGGCACCCGCGGCTCGGCTCCTCAGCTGCTCAGGCGGCTCAGGCGGCTCGGGTGGCTCGGGCGGCTCGGGCGGCTCGGGCGGAACGGGCGGCTCAGGCTGCTGAGCGGCGCGGGCGGCTCGGCTGGGTAGGCGGTTTGGGCGGGGCCGTAGGTAGGGCGACGGGGCCGGGTCGAAGGTAGGGCGACGGGGCCGGTGCGCAGGTAGGGCGACGGGGCCGGGTCGAAGGTAGGGCGACGGGGCCGGGCCGTAGGCAGGGCGACGGGGCCGGGGCCGGGCCGTAGGTAGGGCGACGGGGCCGGGTCGACGGTAGGGCGACGGGGCCGGTGCGCAGGTAGGGCGACGGGGCCGGGGCTGGGTCGCAGGTAGGGCGACGGGGCCGGGGTCGGAGGTGGGGCGACGGGGCCGGGGCCGGGGCGCAGGTAGGGCGACGGGGCCAGGGTCGCAAGGGGGGGCGACGGGGCCGGGGTCGCAGGTAGGGCGACGGGGCCGAGGCGTAGGTAGGGCGACGGGGCCGAGGCGCAGGTAGGGCGACGGGGCCGCTAGGGCGACGGGGCTGCTAGGGCGACGAATCAGGGGCCGCTAAGGCGGCGCGACTTGGCGGCTAGGGTGGCTCGACGAGGTCAGAGAAGGGAGCGCGACTCGGGCAGAGCGCGCTCCGGGCAGGAAAAAAAAAAAAACTTTCGACTTGGTGGGCCCTAGGCACAGTTCCCACGAGGGAACCTGCTCGATACCATGAGAAGACAGAAACGAGAATGAATGAACTATGAATGAAGTGGGTACAAGTACTAACCCTAATTGGGTTGTACCCCCTAAGGGATACTCCACTACAGCCTACACAAAAACATAAGCTATGATGTTCTGACAATTTACGCACCGCTTTATGCTCAGCGGGGAGATATTTTTCCGTTTACCTAAACCCACTGCTTTGGTAAACACTCTAGTCTAGGCTTCAGATCCCCCAGTTCCACACCCCTTTCGAATGCAGTAAAGGGAATCTTCTTTTTTATTTAGGGGGTGGTTTGGGGTGGGTGCCCCAAATGCTGACGAATTTTGTGGCGGGGTTCGTTTGAATGTTACACATTTCGCACTCGCCAGAAACGCCCAAACAGTCCACCATAGAGTTTGGGCGTTACAATTTTACACGCCCTAAGGTGTTCAACGAGTACAAAATGTGAGCGAAGGCATGAGTGAACATTCATACGCGAAACATGCAAACGGTAACGCGGTGCGCGCGAGCTAGCTAATGCTATGCTAGAAGCGAGGTTCCGGCTAGTCCCGAAGCATAGGCCGATACGGCCAGGCCAGTAGTGCGAGGTTTGGAAAAACAGTGCGCGCGAAGTCGGCGAAGTCGCGTTAGCAGTATCGGGCGAACAACGGCTGCTCCTGTACGCGATGTTGCAAGGCGCGCTAAGGAATATTGAGAAAATTCCTTACACTACCCCCCCCCCCCCCCCCCCTGGTTAGAATGTTGGGCTGAAAAAGCCCTTAGGATCTTTGCAAAGGTGAATTCTGGGTAGAGTTGATGTAGTAGCGGAAGCGTCTTAATAAAGAGTTTGTGAACCACCTTGCGCTAGTATGTGAGGGCCATGTGAATTAATTAAAGCAAAGAGATACAAGATTATATATGAATACAGAGAATATCAAGAGACACGGTTATAACTATTTTACTATTGCTGTTGCGCTTCGATACAGTGACGACTCGGGCAACTGCTCTGTAACGAGTCAGTTGTGTGTCCTTGCTGTCGCACTGCATTTGTCAGGTCAAAGGTCGCCGACCTTTGACTTTCGTGTAACCTCCAGCGGTTACTTCAACCTCCGAGGGTTGACTTGCTGGTGCCTCGATATGCTCTGCTTCGCTTGTGCCTTGGTGTTTCGACACGACAGAGGCGCTTAGGAACGATTGTTTCCAACACTCCCCTTTGCTTCTGGAGTGTCGTTGACGTGGCTCTGTCCCAAGTGTTTCAATAATACCACTCCCCTGGTTCCCCCACACCCTCACACCCTCCCACCCTCCCCCTCCCCTTCCCCCTCCCCCACACACTGATGCAGGAGCAGCAGAGGGGGGAAGAGAGGAGAGGTGGAGGGACGGCTGCTGGGTGGTCTCACACCCGCCACCCCAGTGCCACTCCCCGGGCTCCCCCACACCCTCACACCCTCCCCCCCTGCGGCAGCTGCAGCAGCGGGAACAAACAGAGGAGGAGAGGGGGAGGGGGGGGGGGGCGACGCATGTCCTCCCTGGGCGCCAAAGCAGGCGGCAGAGGGGGCGACGCCTGCCCCCCCCTTCCAGGTCCTTCGAAGGAGCCGCGACAGGTGACGGGAAAAGGGGGGGGCGGGGCACGTGCCCCCGGTGTGCCGCGGCTGGCGATGGGGCATGGCCGGGGCGGGGTCGGGGCTGCAAGTGGGCGGGGCCGCACCGCTTAGTCAGCCGGTTGCGGTTTCCCTGGCTGACCCCTCTGGGGGTCCTGTCTTGGCTCGCTTCTCCACAGTCCTCCCATGTCCGGCGGCTCCCTCTGGCACCCTGTCTGGTCTCTACCTCCCCTCGTTCTCTACGAACTTGGTGAGTGGTGCTGACCTACAGGATGCGGGAGTCCACCAGTTCACCCCTGCTAGTAAGCGACTGACGCACTGCACGGAGGCTAGCACGGGTCGTCACCTGGCTACGTTTACACGTCAGCCAGGGTCGAGCCTGTACACACTGACCACTGCTTCTCCTCCAGGTGCTGAGTCTGGTAGAGTCCCTTCGTCTGGTCAGGTGTTTGCTGCAGCGTCCAGGTCTGGTCCTGAGTCTGCCCCCTGTTCGTGTCGCCGTCTGTCTCACGAGACCCTCCTCCGGCACCACCGCCTTGGCCACCCCTCTCTGCTTCGGCTCAGAGGCATGGCCTCCCGTCTTCTTGTGTCTGGTCTCCCCCGGTCTCTACCTCCCCTTCCTCAGGGCCCTGGCCCTGCCTGTGTCCCCTGTGTCGAGGGGTGCCAGCGTGCTGCCCCTCACTCCTCCCAGTTTCCTCCGACAGAGGCTCCGTTGCAGACGCTTCACATGGACGTGTGGGGCCCTGCCCGCGTCCGTGGACTCGGTCACGAGCGCTACTTCCTGCTGGTGGTTGACGACTACTCGCGTTACACCACAGTCTTCCCCTTGCGCAGCAAGGGTGATGTCACTTAGGTGCTGATCGACTGGATCCGCGCAGCTCGTCTCCAGCTCAGGCAGAGCTTTGGCTCGGACTTTCCTGTGTTGCGTCTGCACTCGGACAGAGGCGGAGAGTTCTCCTCTGGCCTTCTGCGTGCCTACTGTCGTGCGCGAGGCATCCGCCAGACCTTCACGCTTCCGGACTCCCCGCAGCAAAATGGGATTGCAGAGCGCCGCATTGGCATGGTCATGGACGTCGCTCGTACGTCCATGATGCATGCGGCTGCCCCCCATTTTCTGTGGCCGTTTGCGGTCAGGTACGCAACGCATCAGATCAACCTCCACCCCAGGGTCTTTAGGCCGGAGACCTCCCCAGCGCTGCTGTGGACGGGGAAGGTTGGCGATGCGTCGGCGTTCCGGGTCTGGGGATCTCGGGCGTTTGTCCGCGACTTGTCTGCGGACAAGCTGTCCCCTCGCGCTGCTCCCTGCGTCTTCCTGGGGTTCCCCCCCGACGCCCCTGGGTGGCAGTTCTACCACCCCACCTCTCGACGTGTTCAGTCCTCCCAGGACGTCACGTTCGACGAGTCGGTACCCTACTACCGCCTCTTCCCCTACCGCACTCCGTCCCTCCCCCCGCCCCCGCTCTTCTTGGTACCAGGTCCCCCCCCGGTAGACCCCCTCCCCCCTCAGGGTCCTGCCCCTTCAGGTGTGTTCTAGGTAGAGGCGATCGAGCCTGTCGAGGTCAGTGGTGACTCTGGTGCGGCTGCGGGAGCTGAGCCGGGGGGTGCTGAGACTGGAGGTGCTACGCCTGCGGGTGCTGAGCCTGGGGGTGCGGAGTCTGGAGGTGCTCAGCCTGGGGGTGCTGAGCATGGGGGTGCTGAGCCTGGGGGTGTTGAGCCTGGGGGTGCTGTGCCTGGAGGTGCTGAGCCTGGGGGTGCTGTGCCTGGGGGTGCTGAGCCTGGGGGTGCTGAGCCTGGGGGTGCTGAGCTTGGGGGTGCTGAGCCTGGGGGTGCTGAGACTGGGGGTGCTCCGCCTGGAGGTGCTTCGTCTCGCCGAGAGCCACTCTCCCCTTAGGAGCTACGTGAGTGGTTTGCCGGGCGCTGGAGGCGTGCTGCTGGTGCTGGAGGTTCTTCGGCTGCACAGGGTACTGCTACCGAGCGTCCCGGCGGTGCTCGTACTATGGGTGCTGGAGCTGCTGGGTCTGAGGGTTCTCCTGGAGCTGGTGCTGCTGAGGGTGTTGACGCTGAGACTGCCGCTGGAGGTCCGACTGGCGGTGCTCCTGGTGGTGCTGCTGGAGGTTCTGGAGCTACTGGAGGTGCTGCTGGAGCGGGTACTCCTACTGGGGGTACTGGTGCTGTCCCTGCTGTTTCTGGCGTCGCCGCGCGGCCCCGGCCGTACTTCGTTCCGCTCCTGCAGCAGGTTCTTGGTCCTCCTCCTCCTCCCTTAGAGGGTCCACGGCCTGTCTCGTCATAGTCACAGCTACAGCCTGCCTCACCTTTGCCTGCTCCTTCTCCCTACGCTGGTCCGACTGGAGGTCTTACTTAGCGTCGTGAGCCTGCGTCTTGTCCTGCGTCGCCTGTTCGTACTGCGCGCGCTAGTGGTCGCGGTTCGCGTCAGCGTCCTCCTCCTGTCCCTGGCACGCACCGGATGTCTCTGCGTCCGTCCACTGCTCCTCTACGTGCCCCTTTGTCTTCTCCTCCTGCTTCCTCTCTTCCTGCTCTTGCCGACCCGGAGTCGGACTCTCTTCGTGCTGCC